GGGGGGGGATCATTTAAGAGTGACGGAATTCCCGAACAACCCTAAACCCTAAACCCTAAACCCTAAACCCTAGACCACCTCAGCCCGGCACCGAACACAGAAGGCTCAGAGGCGCCTCCAAGGGTCCCGGCAGGCGCGCCATCCGCTGCACCAGCCCGCGCAAAGCCTCGCGGATGGTTAGGGGTTAGGGGCTTGGGGTTTAGGGTTTAGGGTTTAGGGTTTAGGGTTTAGGGTTTAGGGTTTAGGGTTTAGGGTTTAGGGTTTAGGGTTTAGGGCTTAGCCCTAAACTCTAAGTTTGGGGGGGCGCTGGGTCTTAGATTCTGGATGCAAGTTTTGGCGGGGCCGCTTTTTGCTTTAAACAGCTTCGTGCCGTCGCGCCTGACGTTACGCCCAGACCTTAAAAGCCTAGACCCCCAAACCCTACCACCCCTAAGCCCTAAGCCCTAAACCCTAAACCCTAAAACCCAAACCGTCTGGGCTTCAACGCGCGAAAGATGGCGAACTCGCAATGGGAGACTGTTTTCAGGCCGGTGGGGGCGTCTGGATCACCCGACTCTGCCCTGCAGGCTCCCAACACTTGAACTCTCAATCGCTGACTCCCTCAACCTTCTAGATTTCAGGGCTTAGGGTTTGGGGTTTAGGGTTCAGAGTTTAGAGTGAGTCTCCACCGCCACCGGGAATCACCGCCCGGGAATGTAGGAAATGGACATTAAAGATTCTGCAAGCTTTGCCCGCCAGCCAAGAAGGACCCGACGAGCCTCCAATCGTTCACAGCAGGGACGGATCTTGGACGTCACGTATTTTGGGGTCTAGGGTTTGGGGTTTAGGGTTTAGGGTTTAGGGTTTAGGGTGTAGGGTTTAGGGTTTAGGGTTTAGGGCTTAGGGTTTAGGGTTTAGGGTTTAGGGTACCCTTGAACCCTTCAACCCTAAACCCCCAAGCACTTTAAACCCTTCAACTCCTAAACCCCAAACACTTGAAACCCTTAAACCCTATTGACACGCACCCAAGGAGCCAAACTTCTGTTTAGGAGTTTAGGGGTTTAGGGGTTTAGGGGTTTAGGGTTAGGGGTTCAGGGGTTTAGGGGTTTAGGGGTTTTGGGGTTTGGGGTTCAGGGCTTAGCGTTTAGGGGTTTAGGAAATGCAGGGCTTAGGCGTTCGGATCTTAAGGCTTGAGGTTTCACCCCACTGCCCTGCTGTCAGCCATAGGCCCAAAGCAGCTCTGAAAGGAAGGTCCTGAGCACACGCCCCCGGGATCACCTTCGTGGATACCCCAGGGGCTGCCCCCAGTCTGTGCCCTAAACCCTAAAGCCCCCACAGCGGCAAGGAAAAATTGCATCTGCTCTGCGCCGGCGAGGAACAATGGCATCTTCAAGAGAGACGCTGTGAAGAGTATAGGGTTTTTCAGGGAGGGCGTTCAACCGGGGTAGGTACCTAGGGGACTTGGTCATGGATTGTCTATATGTCTATACCTCACGTCATGTAGTCTGCAATAACCTCAGTTGGAGGTTCATGGGTAATTATATGTAGGGTTATAAACCCCCTACATGGGGCGATAAGTACAGTTGTCATACTTAGAAACCCTACGTATACGCACCCATAAACCTCCAAGTGACAAACAATTTCTCAGGAGACTACACAGACTGGGTGCTGGGCTTTAATGAAGGTTTAGGGTCTAGGGGTTTTCGGGTTCAGGCGTTTAGGGTTGAGGAGCTGCTTGGGGTGTGTAGGGTTTCGGGCTGAACCCCACTCGCCGTGTGGCCCAGAAGCACATCCTCAACCGCCGAAAGAGGGCTTCTACTCTGGAAAGTGGCGGCCCGCTGAGGCCGGCATCCAACCTCCCGTTCATGGCAAGCTTCTCTGAACGATCTGGAGCATGGCAATTGCATCAAACTCACGAAGCCACGGGCCTGAAGTCCCCTTGGAACCAAAAAGAAAACGTACTCTCTCTGGGGCGTTGAAGCAGCCGCCCTGGCAAGAATGCAAAATCGATGTGTTCGTACCGATATTTTTGGGATTCAGAGGGCCTAGACCCAAAACCCTAAACTCTACATAGGGTTGAGGGTTGAGTCGGCTGGGGGCTCACAGGGTTTAGGAGCCGTACAGCTTACTTAGGGCTTTCAAAGCTTCGGGGGGGGGGGGAGAGAGTTTAGGGTTTAGGGTTTGGGGTTTAGGGATTAGGGTTTAGGGTTTAGGGTTTAGGGTTTAGGGTTTAGGGTTTCGGGTTTAGGGTTTAGGGTTTAGGGTTTAGGGTTTCGGGTTTCGGGTTTCGGGTTTAGGGTTTAGGGTTTAGGCTCAGGCTTCGGGGTGTCGGGGCCCAGGGTTCACTTGGCCGTGGCTGTGTCTGTGCTTTGTGCTTGCCAGCCATACTTCACACGCTTGGCAGGAGAGCCAGTAGCCACCACGTCTTTCAAACACACAGTCGCCTTTAGGTCCCGCCCCCCCCCCCTAGGGAAGGTGCGCGAGGAAGACGCTTCCTAGGGGCGTTAGGGGGTTAGAGTGCTTGGCGTTTAGAGAGTTTCGGGTTTAAGGTTGGCATCTAAGCTAGGTGCAGTCTTAACGGTTGAGGCGCGAGGACCCTAAACCCTAAACCCTACAAGGCCAACATGAATTGGTCAGATGCACACAGCTCAAGGGTGTAGTCCTTCGTGTGGACTAGGAGCCCTATACCTTCAAGGAATCGGGTTTAGGGTTTAGGGTTTCTGGTTTAGGGTTTAGGGTTAGGGTTTCGGGTTTCGGGTTTCATGCTTTTATAGGGCTTGGGGTTTGAGGTTTTGGGGGCTGGTTTAGGCTCAACAGGTGCAAGCACTTGTAGAGGACCCTGGCGCGATCCTGTGGCCCTAAACCCTAAACCCTAAACCCCAAACCCGAAACCCCAAACCCTAAACCCGAAACCCTAAACCCGAAACCCTAAACCCTACAAAACCCTAAATCTATAAACCCCATAAACCCTAAACCCTGAATGTTTCGGGATGTAGGGCCTGAGACACCAGCGCCGACCTGCGCGCAAGAAGGACCCACCCTTCCGGTCTTCGGCGACGAAGTTCGGCTACAGCACCCTCTGCGCAAGCTCAGCTGCATAGCTCCCCTTGGATCGTGAAGGAGGGTGCCGCTCACCCTAAACCCTAACACCCTAAACCCTAACACCCTAAACCCTCAACCCGAAACCCGAAACCCTATACCCTACATACCCTAAGCCCTATACCCTCAACCCTTTAAACCCAAAGAGCACTCAGGTCTCCCTCAGCATGAACTCTTCCTCCCTCCTCCTGCATCCTAAACCCTAAACCCTAAACCCTAAAGCCTCCTTCTGCATCCAAAGAAGAATGACAACTCCGCGGGAGCTGGACTCATCGTGGACAACACGCCCTTAGAGTGATACAAGGTTCCCACACAAGGTTCAGGGTTCAGGGTTTAGGGTTTGGGGTTTAGGGTTTAGGGCTTAGGGCTTAGGGCTTAGGGCAGTTTCGGATGCATAGAGGGTTTTGGGGACCTCTGATCAAGGGCCTACACCCCCTTTGCTTGCTGGTTCTTAGTAGGGAACGAGAGTAGAAGGCCATATACGCTCCCTCAGGGTATACCCTAAACCCTAAACCCTAAATCCTAAAACGGGGTAAAAGGTACCAAAGTTTTGAAGGAAAAGCCTCTGTGCAGGGTTTTCATGGGCTCTTACCCTAAACCCTAAACCCTAAACCCTAAACCCTAAACCCTAAACCCTAAACCCATTGGGGCTCAGGGGTCCAAGTGTCCAGCTTCGCGGCTTCAGACCACTGTGCCACCGCACTCTGTCACCAGGGGGGCGACTCCACAGCAGGCTACCAAAGCCCTAGGTTTAGGGTTTAGGGTTTAGGGTTTAGGGTTTAGGGCTTAGGGGTTTGGGGGTTGGGGTTTAGGGTTTAGGGTTGCAAGTTGCAAGAGACCTTGAGAGAAGGTGCAACCTCAAACCCCTCAACCCTCAACCCGGCACACTCACTGGGAGTTGCAAAATGTTCCTGTTCAGGTACAGAGTTGCAAGAAACGCTGTACAAAATGGCAGCAGAAGCGGCCTCATTCTTGCACTGACGTCCCCCTTGCTACCATGGCCTGTGCTGTAGGCAGGCCACGTAGTCTTCCCGACATGCTCTCTGCTTTTCGGTGGGGGAGTCATGGTCATAATCAAGCGAAAACTTGAGTGTCCACAGACACTCGTCGGAGCGTGAGGGCATGCCCAGCTCTTTCCATACAGCTATTGTGACGAACACGTCGACATGAAGAGAGAGAAAGAGGCAAGTCAGATGGAGAGAGAGAGGTAGGGAGAAGCTAGAGGCCATAAGGGAACACTCTTAGTAATTATCCCCAACCCTACAGCAAACCCGACACCCTGCGGGGCGTGCCCAAAGCTTGAAATTGAGTTTGAACAACCGATTCCGGACACCGTGACATCGCCACACCTGGAGCAGCACCTGCCTTTGCCCAACAGTCTTCGGCAGGTTCTGTCGCCGGGCGGGCTTGCCTTGCCCCATGAACCGACTAACACGGAAGGGCAAATCGACACCGTACCGTTTCGGAGCGCCTTACGCCAGTCGTTGAGGCCGAAACCCTACACATTCAAACCCTAAACATTAGACCCTACACCCTAAACTCCAAGCCCTAAGCCCTAAACCTTAAACCCCGAATGCCCTCAACCCAGGATCCCCAAACCCTGGACCTAAGAACCACAAAATCTTCAACCCCAAATCCCTAACCCTCCCGATCCTGGACGACGGGAAAGTGCACCTGTTCTTGTAGAAGCCCTGAAAGCGTCTGCCGCCTAGGGCCCCTGAGGCCCAAGGTTTAGGGTTTAGGGTTTAGGGTTTAGGGGCTAAAAATTAAGGTTTAGGGTTTCGAAAGTCGGGAACGGCCCTCAAGACCTGGCGCCCGAAGGCTCCTCCTTCCCTAAACCCTAAACCCTAAACCCTAAACCCTAAACCCTACAAGCCTCTTAACAGGACCTGGCGCCCTAAGGCTCCTCCTTTCTCTCGGACTCAGAGGATGCAGCGGCCCAGGTCCGAGTACTGGTGCCGGAGTCGCTCCAGAGCCTGCAGGGCAGAGAAGGAGTTTCTTAATTCGGGTTTAGGGTTTAGGGTTTAGGGTTTAGGGTTTAGGGTTTAGGGTTTAGGGTTTAGGGTTTAGGGTTTAGGGTTTAGGGTTTAGGGTTTAGGGTTTAGGGTTTAGGGTTTAGGGTTTAGGGTAACCCTAAACCCTAAACACGATAGGGTTCCGCGCATAGGGCTCCTGACTCTTTCAGAGCCTTTTAAGTTCAGGGCCTTGAACAAAGATGAGGTAGCATCGCGGAAACAGCTCAGACACCCTGAACCCCTACACCCCTAAACCCCCTAATCCCCTAAACCCCTAAACCACTAAACCCCTAAACCTAAACCCCCCTACCCCTAAACCCCTCAACCCCTAAACCCCTAAACCCCTAAACCCCTAAACCCCTAAACCCCTAAATCGTACAGGCGGACAATATAGAGGCCTTAATAATCAGAATAGGCTTTTTTTCAGGGGGTCATTATAAGGGATTACGACTCGTAACTCTTCCGACCAATAAAAAACTGAACCCTAAACCCTAACCCTAAACCCGAAGCCCTCCCCTCACCTCGCGCATGTCATCTTCCTTGCTGCAAGGAAGAAAGTTGACCAAGCATGCAAAGCTCCTCGGCAGGCCCCCGGGCGCAGGCCCCCGGGCGCATCTGCAAGCCTTGAAACCAAACCCTACACCCGAAACCCTAAACCCTAAATCCTAAACCCTAAATCCTAAACCCTAAACCCTCAACCCTAAACCCTGAACCCCGAACCCTAACCCCAGCATAAAAGTTGGGTTTTCCAAGTGGTCCCAACCCAGATATCTGAACTGTTAGTATAAGCGGGAACATCCCTCTGGGTTCTGGGTTCTGGGTTTAGGGTTTAGGGTTTAGGGTTTAGGGTTTAGGGTTTAGGGTTTGGGGTTTGGGGTTTAGGGTTTAGGGTTTAGACCCCAAACCCGGAACCCTCGACATCTTCCGGGCGGTCCCAGCAGCATGGCGGCCAAGATCCGCTGCAGGTTTCGCGGTGCGGCCTTCCGCAAATCCTCACAGCGGTCCTTGTGGGAGAGTTTAGGGTTTAGGGTTGAGGGTTTAGGGTTTAGGGTGCAGGGTTTAGGGTTTAGGGGTTAGGGTTTGGGGTTTGGGGTTTAGGGTTTGGGGTTTGGGGTTTGGGGTTGAGGGTTTCGGGTTTAGGGTTTACGGTTTTGGGTTTAGCTGAGATGCGGCTTAGTGCTAGAGGTAGGGCTTAGGGTTTAAGGGCTATGACTTAGGGTTTGGGGTTTAGGGCTTAAGGGCCAGGATCCAGGGGCTTGATACTCTGGGGCGCGTGCGGGTGTGACGATTCGGGGTTTCGTAATTCGACCTTAGGGTTTAGGGTTCGAGGGTGCTTGGGGCGTTCTAGGGTTTAAGGGTTTGGGGGAGCTTTTGTTTAATGCTTTGGGCCTTGGGGATTTGAGGCTTGGGGCAACGGGGGGGAGGCTTTGTGGTGTAACCTAAACCCTAAACCCTAAACCCTAAACCCTAAACCCTAAACCCTAAACCCCAAACCCTAAACCCTAAACCCTAAACCCAGCAACCGCTCTCGGAAGGGACATGTCCGTGCATCGGGTTCAGGCACGGGGTTGCTAAAAGCTTAGGATGGACCGGGCTTCAGGCTTGGGATGTTCTTATACTCATGGTCCTTATCGTCCTTAAGAGTGATGATAGTACCCCCAGCTCTAATCCCTATTCGGGACTGTTAGCCGAAGGGGGAAGATCCCAACTTCAGGCTTTTAAAGAGAAAGGCTTAAGAGAAACAGGATGTGAAACTCTGATCTCGATCCATTGAAGACATGGCCTGCTGGTTGCTGGGGCCGCAGTTCCCCCACAATTTCGCAGCTTCCTGAGGCCCCTGCACCCCAAACCCCAGCCTCCAAGCCTGAAGTAGGTGAAGAGGGCCCTAAACCCTAAACCCTAAACCCCAAACCCTAAACCCTAAACCCTAGCCCTAAACCCTAAACCCTAAACCCCAGGCTTGGGGGGGCCGCAAGGCCCAGTCCTGCAGATCCTTCTCGCTCTGGATCTTGGCGCGCGCCTGCAGATCGGGTGACCCTCGGCAACCAACCCCAAATCTCGGGATGCTCCCCCCTTATAAGGGATTAGGTTTTAGGTTTTAGGGTTTAGGATTTAGGGTTTGGGGTTTAGGGTTTAGGGTTTAGGGTTTAGGGTTTAGGGTTTAGGGTTTAGGGTTTAGGGTTTAGGGTTATAGTACCCCCTGTTATCATCCCGATGAAGGACTGTGAGTATAAGGGGGAACATCCCAACCTAAGTCTGCTAAACACCCCTTAAACCTTAAAACACTCGAAGACACTCAAAAACACCCTAAACCCTAAACCCTAAACCCTCAACCCTAAACCCTAAACCCCTAACCCCCAAAAAGCACCGCTTAACACCCTGAAGGCCCAAAAGACCCAAGCACTCAGCAAAACTTGGGGTGTTCCCCGCATTATACGAACAGTCCTTAATAGGGATTGCAGTGCCTTTCATTCGAATCCCTATTGAGGAGCTGCTAGTATAAGGGCGAACATCCCAACCCAAAACCCTTCAACAAACCCTGCTTGCAGGTTCAGGGCACGTCTAACCCAATTATAAGCGCAGTTACCACCCACTTATAAGCCCCTTTTATAATTGGGTTATAAGTACAATTATAATTGGGCCCTGACCCCGCTAAACCCTAAACCTTAAACCCTAAACCCTAAACCTTGTACTTGGGTTGCAAAGTACCCTGAACCTCCAGGGGCGCCTGGAGTAGCTCCAAGACCTCCCCGGCAGCAGGCGGGAGCTTCAGCTTCGCGCAGGCGGCCTTTCGGCGAGAGAGGGAGGTTGGGGTTTAGGGTTTAGGGTTTCGGGTTTAGGGTTTAGGGCTGAGGGTTCAGGGTTTAGGGTTTCGGGAGGGAGGTCGGGATTCAGTGCAGCTTCCAAGAGATTCAGGTCTTTAGCGGGCTTCCCGTCGTCTTTCCGACTAGAAGCCGGATATCCGATTCCGCCGATGATACTTATGGTAGACTTGTAACCGTACCATTTGGGATACTGATAGCCCTACTTTTCAGTACCCGTGAGCATCCAGGCAGGGTATACGTGTGAAGCTGGCGACAGCATATCTCGCAGTGCCATTGCCTTAAGGTATTATGTGGGGACCCAAAAAGGGACCCTCATCCAGAGCGCTACCCAGACTTAAGCTGAAGAGACGGTTGGAACCACTCCGAGCGGTTTGAAGTGGCAGTCGACAAAGTCGTCGAGCTGCCGGTCACCTGCCATGTGGCGGATTGCCAAGAGAGAATCGGCGCATCTCTGCGTGACCGAGGCCTACGGCCTACCCACAGCATGCCGCTCCCAGGTCCCAGTGCTCTTGTTTTCGACTCTGGCTGCCTCACGAATATGACTGCCTGCTACGACTCCTGTCTGGGGGATAGGTAGGGGGATGGGTAGGGGTGAGCAGATGCAGCAAGGCGGTGTCCCTACCTCACTGCAAAACATCGCAGTCCCATGGGGCTGCGAAAGTACTGTGCATGGCAGCACGTACAATACGTACAAGACGTACACTGCATGCAAAAAAACACACCGGTTGAACATGGTTCAACCGGCGGATATGCAGTGCACGTGCAAGCTGCATGCTAAGGGAGGAGAATCCCCCCGTGTCAAGATGAAGATCACATTGCGGCGCGTTGCAGTGCTCTCAACTCTCACTTGGCAGCTGTCCAAAACAAGACATCGCATGGCTGTGGAGACTGTGCCTTGAAATGCCGACAGTTGTGAAGTGACAACGCACCGCAAAGGGATCGACACATGGCGAGAGTTGTACCCTCGACAAAGAAGTGTTTGCTCTAAAGTTGGTGATCGTCGTCGCGTCAACGTCGTCGTCGTCGTTCGTCGTCGTCGTCGTCGTCGCCGCTGCCGCCACCAGCTTCGAATATCTTCAACTAAGTTGAAGATACCAGAATACCTTCAACTTAGTTGAAGATATCAGAGTATGGCTTTACATCTGGGTGTTTGCGTCTGCTGGGTAGGAGTTGCCATCCTCGCCGACGGTACATTGTGCTTCGGAGGCACAATTCCCGCGGGAATTCAGCCTCCTGCCAATGCCGTCACCGTTGCCGTCACATAGTTTGCTGACCTCGCCGGAGTTTCTGGCTGTGGCTATGTAGATTGTGCTGCCATTGGTGGGCGTACTGATGTTGCGGTTCTTGTCGTCGTATTCGTCGGTAGTGGTAGAAGGCCTCGTTACGACATCCTCCGGTAGGGCAACGTCACAAGAGTCACTGGCCCTTGCACTGAATGCCTCATCCTCGGTCAGGAAGCTGTCACCACTCGTGGTACTGTCAGCACTGTCAGTGTCGGAGTTGCCGGTCTCATTAGTGATGATGCCAGGTTCGTGACAAAACCGGCACAGCCTGTCAAGCGTGCATGCCTGACAAACGTAGTACCTGGTCATGGAACCGTGATGCAGGCAGTGACGTCGGCAAAGGAAGATGGCGACAGCCGCGGCGTGGCACCCAAAACATTGCTCGGTACTCATACCGAGTGCCCGGCTGATGCAAAAGCTGCGATTAGCTGTCGGTTTTCGGCTGATCCTGGTTAAGACTTCGAGCCCGAAAACCCTCAACCCTAAAAGCAACCAAGACTCAAACGTTCCGCAGTTCCTCAGCATCAGCCAGAGCCGTCTGCGGCGGCCAACACGCATTCGGGATGGCTTCAAAGCGAACAGGCCTTTGGGTTTGGGCTAGTGGGCTTGGGGCTTTGGGGCTTTGAGTTTGGGGCTTGGAGTTTGGGATTTGGGACTTTGAGTTCGGCGCTTCGGGGGTTTAGGGGTTTGGGGGTTTGGGGTCTGGGTTTGGGGCTTCGGGGGTTTAGGGGTTTGGGGTTTGGGGTCTGGGTTTGGGGCTTTGAGCTTGGGGGTTGAGGTTTTTGGCTTGGGGTCGATCTGGCCAAACGAAACAGGCAGGCGCGACCTTCTCCATCTGATCTCGCTCACCCAGCGCCATGAAGAAGAGGACGAAGTTGTCAAGAGGTCCGATGTTTGTTGCTCACATGTTCACGAAGCCTACACCCACACCTTCGACCCGAAACCCAAAAACCCTAAACCCTAAACCCTAAACCCAAAAACTCTAAACCCCCATCCTTCAGACCCAGATTCTCAAGAGAGCCCAAAAAGCCCAGGGAGTCAGGGTTCGGATTCCGCTTCGACTAAACCCTAAGGGTGTTTAGGGTTTAGGGTTCAAGGTTTAGGGCCTTTAGGGTGTAGGGTTTAGGGTCTTTAGGCCCTAAAGGTTTTAGGGTTTGGGGATCTGGCCAGGCGAGAATGGCTGAAGACAAGCTGCAAACCACTAGGCCTTCCACCCTTCGCACCCAAACATCCCTAAACCCACTGGATCGATCTTGAACATATCCGAAGGCACTAAACCCCCAAACCCGCTGCCTTAACTAAAGCACTGATAACGTTTAGGGTTTAGGGTTTGGGGTTTAGGGTTTAGGGTTTCGGGTTTAGGGTTTAAGGTTTAGGGTTCCCCCCCCCCCTCCCTTCCCTCCCCCTCGCAGTGACGGACCCGAAGGTGAGGAAAGACCACGGTGATGGCATCACTTTCGCTGAGCCTGCGCAGAGGGCTTTTGCATGTGGCGTTTCAGGTTTAGGGTCCAGGGCTTAGGGTTTAGGGTTTGGGGTTGGGGGTGTAGGGCTTAGGGGTGTCAGGCCCTAAGCCCTAAACCCCCCTGGCTGGAAACCATCCAACGCCCAAACCTCAGCACTAACAAAGACAATTTAGGTTTTAGGGTTTAGGGTTTAGGGTGTAGGGTTTAGGGTTTAGGGTTTAGGGTTTAGGGCTTAGGGTTTAGGGCTTAGGGTTGGGGTCCAGGCCTGCGAAGGAACTCACGCTGGCGCTTGTCGAGTGCCACCCTCCGCTCCGTATGCTCCAGGTGACAATAGCCTCCCGGGGCTTCTCATATTTTCACGGCACCCTAAACCCTAAACCCTAAACCCTCTCTTTCTTATATATATTTAAACCTTCGGCCGATTTCGGCCACGGCCGAAAAGCCACGAACACTGGTCCCCCCAGTGTTCGGCCGATTTCGGCCACGGCCGAAAAGCCACGAACACTGGTCCCCCCAGTGTTCGGCCGATTTCGGCCTGGCCGAAAAGCCACGAACACTGGTCCCCCCAGTGTTCGGCCGATTTCGGCCACGGCCGAAAAGCCACGAACACTGGTCCCCCCAGTGTTCGGCCGATTTCGGCCTGGCCGAAAAGCCACGAACACTGGTCCCCCCAGTGTTCGGGCGATTTCGGCCTGGCCGAAAAGCCACGAACACTGGTCCCCCCAGTGTTCGGCCGATTTCGGCCACGGCCGAAAAGCCACGAACACTGGTCCCCCCAGTGTTCGGCCGATTTCGGCCTGGCCGAAAAGCCACGAACACTGGTCCCCCCAGTGTTCGGCCGATTTCGGCCCCTCCCCCCCCTCCCCCCCTTCCCCCCCTCCCCCCCCTCCCCCCCCCCTCCCCTCCCCCCCCTCTCTCCCCCCCTCTCACCCCCTATCCTCACCCCGTCCCCTCCCCTAATCTGACCCTATTGTTCGTCGGTGGAAGGTTCAGTGGAAAACGTGTCCGAGTTGGGTAGGTACTCTGGGGAAGATGACAACCGTTTATTTTCTTAATGTTATGGGATTCTTTGGGCGGGTGGGTTTTTTTTCTGAGCCTGGAATGAATGCTAGAACAGTGACCCTCTAGACCCTAAACCCTAAACCCTAAACCCTAAACCCTAAACCCTAAAACCCTAAACCCTAAACCCTGGATCCGAGACCCTAAGCCCTGAACCATCAGGATCCTAGACCCTCCTAGAGCCCCAAAACCCAGAGCTTGGGACAGCTGTAGGTTGGCCCCTCTAGGCCGAACGAAAAATATTCTAATCCTCTTAAACACAATAAGCGAAAACAAAAAAATGTCCCTAAGCCCTAAACCCCAAATAAACCCTAAACCCTAAACAAACTAAACCCTACACAAACTGAACCCGAAACCCGAAACCCGAAACCCTAAACCCTAAACCCTAAACCCTAAACCCTAAACAAACTCAACCCTGAACCCTAAAGCCCCAAGCCGAGAGATCGAGGCCAGGAGGCTACACTTGGGCCCCGCCGGGCAGGGGCCCCGGCTCCCGACGAGGTACCTGCCGCACTTAAGGTTAGGGTTTAGGGTTTAGGGTTTAGGGTTTAGGGTTTAGGGTTTAGGGTTTAGGGTTTAGGGTTTAGGGTTTAGGGTTTAGGGTTTAGGGGGTTAGGGTTTAGGGGGTTTAGGGTTTGGGGTTTGGGGTTTAGGGCTTAGGGTTTAGGACTAAGGTTGAGGCCGGGTTGAAGCCGTTTAGGGTTTATGGTTTAGGGTGCAGGGTCTGGGGTTTAGAGTGTAGGGTTTGGGGTTTAGAGGGTTGAGGGTTTAGGGTTTAGGGTTTATGGTTTAGGGTTTAGGGTTAAGGTGCTTAGGCCTAAACCCTAAACCCCCTAAACCTAGTGGGGTTTCAGGGGCAGAGCTTCTGCTGGCAGGCCGCACGCATGGCCGCCGGCACATCTCCGGGTGGCCGATGCTCCCATGGCCTGGGCTTGGGGTTTAGGGTTTAGGGCTAGGGTTTAGGGCTCAGGGTTTCGGGTTTAGGGTTTCGGGGTTTAGGTTTAGGGGTTGAGGAGTTGGGGGGCTTGGGGTTTAAGGGTTTTGGGGTTTTGGGTTTAGCGTTTGGGGGTTGAGGGGTTTAGGGGTTTAGGGGTTTAGGGGTTTAGCGATTTAGGGGTCTAGGGTTTGGTCTAGGGTTTAGGGATTAGGGGCTTCTTGCTTTCAGGGTTTAGGGTTTGGTGATTCGGGTTCAGTCTGAGGTACATCCGTACCAAAGGATTCTGAGCCACCAGACCCTAAACCCTAAACCCTAAACCCTCAACCCTAAACCCTAATCCCTTAACCACGAAGCAGAGCCCCTCCCCCGCTTCGACCACCGAACCCTTCCCACGAAAGGTCTACGCAACAAGGGGTTTAAAGCTTGGGGCTTGGAGAGCTCAGTGTTTCCAGGAATTTGGGTTTCGGGCATTTTGGGTTCGGGGTTAAGGGCTACCCTAAACACTAAACCCTAAACCCTAAACCCTAAACCCTTTCAAGGGTTAATGGGGCTTCAGGGCTGTCTTGTACTGGGGCTTCGGGGCTTCCAAACCCAGCCAGAGATGCTCGGGTAAATGGGCGAGCTGTCCACGAATTGGTCGGGTGTCTGGGGCGGAGATGGATTCCTCAGCACCCCAAAGTTAGGGTTTAGGGTTTAGGGTGAAACCTAGGACAGTGGAACTGGACCCGAAAACACCACATACACCCTAAAGCCATTGGCTCAGGCCCTGAAACCGGAAACCTTACCTCCTACAACTTGGAGGCTTCACCCCGAAGAATCTAAGACCTGCAGTAGTGGGGGATGTTTCCTCTGCTCCCGCTTTGGTATGAGATGTCGGGATCCCCTATGTGAGTCCAGAAGCTTCCGAAGGCCTTAACCCCGCTGAACCCTGAAACCCTTAAACCCTAACGGGAACCAAAATGGGTTTAGGATTTAGGTTTAGGGTTTCGGGACTATTAGGGCTTCGGGCTTAGAGTTTAGGGTGACCCAAGAGTCACCTAAGAATAAACGGGTACTGTACCCTTTTTGGTTCAAAAGGGAAACATAAAACTTGTTTATAAGGGCCTACTCTGGGACCCAGCTCCAAGCCTAAACACCTCCAAGTACACCCTAAACCCTAAACAGCCCTCAAGTCCGAGAGCCCCCCAAACTCCCAGAACCGACCGGCCTAGGCGGGGTTTAACCCGAAACCCTCGCCCCAAACCCTAAACCCTAAACCATAAACCCTAACCCTAAACCCTAAACCCTAAACCCTAAACCCTAAACCCTAAACCCTGGCCCTAAACTCGAAACCTCTACACCCGAAACCCTTAACCCTTGAGCCCCAAACCCCAAAAGGCAAATGCCATTGCAAGGCTCGCCATGTCTGCGCACTGCTCTTGCGACTCACAGACGGGCGGCGGAATCTCCTCAGCTGCTTAAGAGAGACATGGGGGTTTACGAAAGTAGGGCTTAGGGTTTAGGGTTCAGGGTTTAGGGTTCAGGGTTCAGGGTTCAGGGTTCAGGGCAAACCCCTGCGCCCGACGGTTCGCCTGAACCCTCAACCTGAGCCCTAAACTCTAATTCCTAAGCCCGAAGCCCTAAGCCCCAGATCACTGAAAGCCCTAGCCATCGGCAGTTGGCCAGCTATTTGGTGGTTTGCGATATTGTGAGTACCATATTGGGGTCCTTCGTGTACGGGAATCCTACAATAAACCCTGAGCCCAAGGACTTCTTGGGCCGTGAGGGTTCGTTGTTTCCGGTTTGAGGTTTGGGGTGAGGGGTTTTGGCCTGAATTTGAACTCTTGGAGGTACTGGGATGGATAACACCGAGTGGGTGATTCCTCGGCCCCGCGACCTAAACGCGCATGTGACTCCGAGATCCCTTAAACCCGATTATAAACCCACCCTGAACCCCTAAACCCTAAACCCTAAACCTTGAACCCTAAACCCTAAACCCTGAACCCTAAACCCTAAACCCTAAACCCTAAACCCTAAACCGAACCCATCGAGCTGACGGGCATCTGGGATGGCCGTGTAGCTTTGGTAGTTCTGAAGCCAGAGCTTTTGAACCTTCGATATGAGAGGGGCTAAATTCTGACTTCCCTATATAACCCTTTTCGGGGTCAAAAGGCTATACAGCCCTTTTGGGGGTCGAAAAGGCTATATGACCCTTCAAGAGGTTGTAATTTATGACGGGCCCTCATGAACCAATTCCCTTGGGCTGGAGGCTTGGGCCGGGTGTAATATAGGGGCCTGAAGAACTAGAATAGGGTTTGGGGGAATATTCTTGTATACGTGCATAGGGACCATGCAGAAATACTATTCGTAAGTATTCCGACCCCTGTAACGTTTGGGCGTTAGCTGGTACATCTCTAAAGTTGAATTTGGATGCCAAATACCCGGCAGTCTCCCTGGTACCCTAAACTCCCCTAAACACACGCCCAAAAGAAGCAGGCTCGCGTCCATGAGCACCCCAAAATCAGCCTCCTGAAGCCTAAACCCTACGCCCTTAAGGGTCTTTTGGGGTGTAGGGTGTAGGGTGTAGGGTTTAGGGTTTAGGGTCTAGGGTTTAGGGCTTGGTTTAGGGGGTTGAGAAGATACTGGAGCTCAGAGTTCAGGGACTCAATCAAAACCGCAACAAGGCCCGAGGAGCACTGTCAGCACAGGCGACAGAGTCGAAGACTAGGCTGCTGGGCGACACCTGCTCTTTTTGATCTTGCTCCTACCTGTGTTGCTTCCCAGTCGCTGTCTGCCCCGAGACCCTAAACCCTAAACCCTAAACCCCAAACCCTAGACCCTAAACCCTAAACCTCAAACCCCTAAACCCCAAAACCCCACCCCCAAACTCGAATCCCTCAAAATCTCAGCCCCCCCCCCCCCTCCTTCATTGGGCTGTCCATGCCGCACATCACCATGTTTCTGGCGGCTTCCGTGCGTTCGGATGGACCTACAGATCTCGAGGGCTGAACTGCCACGCTTGTGCCAAATGCCTGCAGGGTTTAGGGGTTTCGGGTTTAGGGTCTGCAACGCAGTTCAGGGGCTCAGAGTTTAGGGGTTGAGGCCTCCTCGGTAGGGATCACCCTAAACCCTAAAACCTAAACCCTTTTCAAGGTTCGGGGTCCGGCAGGAGAGCCCTGAGAACATGCGCTTCGCAGCCTCCTTGGTAAGCAATTTTCGTCGTCCCAAGGAGTCTTTAAATGCCTCACAGAAGGGCAGTCCCTTCTTGGGCTCTAGCCCTAAACCCCAAACCCCAAACCCTAAACCCTACCCCGAGACCCTAAACCCTCAACCCTAAACCCTAGTCCCCTACCTTCGGAAACCCCCCCCCCCCCCCCACACAGAAGAAGACTTAAAGCAAAACAGAGCTCCTAAACCCTAAACCCTACACCCTGAACCCCTAAACAACTCCACCCCAGCGCCTCCCGGTGGCACATGGCCGTCCACAAGTCGCGCGTCTTCCTCCGTCCATGTTGCGGGGGTGAAAGAGCAGGGTTTAGGGTCTATAGGGGAAAGCGTTTAGGGTTTAGGGTTTGGGGCCTAGGGCCTAGGGCCTAGGGTTCAGGGTTTAGGGTTTAGGGTTTCATAGCTAACTGGAAGGTCCTGGACGTCAGCCGGAGCATTCCCGAGCACGCCTCAGCAAGAAAGTGTAGGGATTTAGGGCGTCAGGGCCCTAAACCCCAAAACCCTGAACCCTAAAGCACCAACCCGTAAACGGGTTTTAGGGCTTCAGGGTTTTCGGGCTTTAGGGCATTTAGACATCTATTGGCTTATACCGGCCATCTGGCTTCGAGACCCCATACCCTGAACCCACTTTAGGGTTCAGGGTTGTGCAGGGTTTAGGGTTTAGGATTTTCGGTTTACGGTTTACGGTTTAGGGTTTAGGGTTAAGGGTTAGTAGTATACAATTTAGGGGGTCTTCCGAAAAAGGGGGCACCCGTTTTGGAGGTTCCAAACATAAGGATCATAGTAAATCGCACTTGAAGATTGACAGCTTTAGGGTATTCCTTTCTTGGGGGTGGGTAGTTGGGTTTAGGATGTAGAGGGCTTCTTAACCCTAAACCACAAACCCTAAACCTTAAACCCTGAACCCTAAACCCTACACCCTGAACCCTAAACACTCTGGGCTTTACGGATTTCGGGGTTATGCCCTTCTGAATCTCTATGTTATGTGATCTTGTTCCTCTGAAATTTCATGCTGCCATGAAGGGACCTGAGGTTGAGAAAAAAAACTCTGCAAGCCCTAAACCCCAAACCCTGAACCCTAAACCCTGAACCCTGAACCCTGAACCCTGACCCTGAACCCTTAACACCCCCTAAACCCCCCCTCAACCCCCCCTAAACCACCCCGAAACCCACCCGAAACCCACCCCCCCTAAACCCCCCCCCACCCCCGGTGTCGCTTTGTGGGGGTGTCCCCTGGGCCCAAGACCACAGCGTGGTAGGACTGGGCTCCTGGTCGCTTGTTTGCGGTGGTCACCACCTGGCTCGCGGAAGGTTCGAGTTGGGGTTGAGGGGTTTGGGTTGGGTTTACGGCTTAGGGCTTTCAATTTTAAATGAGATTACAGTAGTAGAATGTTGGATGATGATGTGATGTGCGAGAAAAGAATGTACTGGAATAGATCGACACAGAAGATGGCAATACGTTTAGTCTAGAGGTAGTATATATGTACATATATATAGATATGCATATACATGTAGATACATGCATATCTATATGTTTAGACTGATAGGCAGATATAGACATATGTAGATATAGACATGATATATATATATATATCTCATGACGCACTCATTGAAGTGCGGGGCCCTCAAGGGCCCAACCCAGGGCACCTTCGGCTGCCCCTATGCATCTATGAACTTTCCTTTTGATGCTGAAGCTGAAGATGCTACACACCTGAGGAGCTCTACGTCGGCTACCCCCGGCCGCTCCCCTGGCGGTCTTCGGCGCCAAGGGGGAGCCAAAACTTGCGAGCCGAGCCCGTGGAAGATTACAATCACTGACGCGCGGGCACTGCAAATCCAAGGTTACATCCTGCATGCTTATAACATACACGACACCCACACAGCTGCTCATGCGTGAATGTTGTTTGCTTGCTGCAAAGGCTATGGCAATGATTTGCACACCCATGACCAAGCTTGTCCAGTTACTCGTTAGATGTCTTGTGTAAACTTGCACAGCGTGCTCCGCACTTGAGAATGACTCAGGGCAACGATGGGCCGAGCTTAAGCTCGCGGATGCAGCAAGTCTTAAAGGCTCAGTCCATGTACTCCCCGGCCGCAGTGTCGGGCATTGAGACCCCTCCGTCAGCCGTCTCATCGGCCTGCCCCCGCCGGCACATCCCGCCTCGGCGAGGCGGTTTGTTCGCCTGGCCCTTGCTGAGGATGCAGGGCGGGCAGGCGAAGACGGCCACGGGCAAGTCTGGCTCAAAGACGACCTTCAGCACCTCGCACTCGTTGGGCTCGGCGTGGACGCTGGTGAGGGCCGCGGGCTTTCCGGAATCGAGGACCACCAGGTCACCAGCCACCAGTTTCCCGGCCGCCTGGTAGAGAATCTCTGCCACCTCGCCCTTTTTGTCGGGGACTTGCACGGGATGGTCCGGGGTGACCCGCAATGTCGCAGCCCCGGCCTCCAAGCTGACGATCTCGGTGGCTCGGCCTTTCGAGATGTCCACCACCTCCAACATGTTCTCGCCATGCCCGGCCACCACTTGCAAGCCCTTCCGGAGGTCCTTGCCCGCAAGATAGAAGTCCATGACGGAGCTCCGGCACTTGAAGACGGCGTCCAGCATGAAGCAGCCCGGCTGGACGGAGAACCCTGACGAGCGGACCGTCGAGGCGGCGTTGCCAGCATTGCCGGCATTGCCGGCATTGCCGGTATTGCCCTCGCCCTCAGTCTGGACCAGTGTGTACCCCATCTCCTCGGCGAGGTTCGACGCAGGGCTGGAGGCATCTTTGGGGAGATTCGGGCCGTGGCTGGCGAGGGTGGCCTGAATCGGGGGCAAGCCTTTCGCCTCAGCAAGCTGGCAAGCCAGCTGACGGCAGCGCTCCTTGTACGCACCCTTCTCCTCCTGCATCTGGCCCAACTTCTCCTCCGTTTTGGCCAGCTGCAGCCCGAGCAGCTCGCCACGCTCCTGGAGGGCTGCATTCTCCAGCAAAGTCTTCAACTCTGGCTTGTTTCCGGAGGCAGCCTCCGCAGCAGCCAAACGGGCCGCGAGCTGCTCGCAGTGCTCCTTCTGCTTGTCACAATCTGCCTGCAACCTATGGAGCTCACGTTGCTTTCCTGACGCCTCGGCCTCTGAGGCCTCCAAACGACGCGCAAGCTGCTCGCACCACTCCTTCATAGCAGCACCCTCGTCCTGCGCGGCCTGGACCTCGCGCGCCTTGTCCGCCAAGGTCGCTTCCGCTGCCGCCACACGCTCCGTGAGCAGCTCGCACTGGCGCTTCGCGGCTTGGAGCTCCCGCTGCGTCTCTGTGCTTGCGGCCTGCGCCGCCTCCAAGCTGGCGCCGAGCTGCGCGTTCTCCAACTTCTGCTGGGCGAGCTCCTCCTTCGCGGAATGGAGCTCGGCCTCGGCGGCTTCCAGGCGCTCGCCCAGCTGCCTCTTCTCCTCCCGGAGCTGCTCCTCCTCCTGGCCCTTCTCCTCCAATCTCTGCCGCTTCCGCGCCGTCTCCTCCGCTTCCGCCTCGGCCGCTGCCAGCCGCTTAGCGAGCTCCGAGCAGCGAGGGCGGAGACGAGCCTCAAACCACTCCGGCGGAGGCGTCCAACTCCGAGCCACTCGCTCCAGCCCCGCCTCCGAGAAGGACTCGACGTAGCACCGGCTCACCTCGCTCCGCCCGTGCTGGACGAGCAGCTCGGCGAGCCGCTCCTGGGAGCGGTCCTCGTTCAGACCGCGCCAGGCCGCCGCCTCCGCCGGCCGCGCGGCCCAGAGCTCCACCAGCCGCGCTGCCAGCGTCTCTTGGGGGCGCTTGGCGTCAGCAGGGTCGTACTTCGTCAAGTGCAGGAAGGCGTCGAGGACGGTCTCCAGGGGCCAGCCGGCCGGGACCGCGGTCAGGTTGTAGAGATGCGGCATTAGGGCGATCTTGAGAACGAAAAGGAGCACCTTTTAAGTGCGGGGGGAGCGGGCGGGCTCTCTCCTGGTAGTCGCTATCTCTGAGCCGGGCTCGCGCACGCGCACTGGCAAGAAGAACAAAGCGAGACTCTCAATGCAAGGGATGCCCTCCACAGCCCTGAGACTGCAAACTTTGCGCAACACATCTGCGAAAATCTTCCAGGTCAAGCTTCTCACAGCAAAGAAAGCGAGGACGGCAGCACGCCCTTCCTTGTGGCAGAGCGGTGAGTGGCCTGATCTAAGGCTTAGGGTTTGTAGGGTTTCGGGGCCCTCTTGGGTTTAGGGGTTTTGCGTTTGAGGGCTTAGGGTTAGAGAATACCTTGCCTGGGTATGAATGCGGTCGCTGCTCGAAGGTTTGGGGGCCGCAATGTGGGGATCCTCCATCGGAGAACTCCTCATCGACACGACACTCGAACAGACTCTGAACCCACGGCGCAAGCCACTCTAGCATTGAAAGGCTGCCACCCCACCCCACGCCCCCAATTGAATGACAGGTATAACTCTGGGGTTTAGGGCCAAGATTAGGGGATAACCTTCACGTCGTTCGGAGAAAGCTTTACAACAAACCGCTCCTACCGCCCCCTATGCCATGCCCTACCATTCTCCCCTGAACCCTGAGCCCTAAACCCTAAAGCCCATTCACATCGTTTTCAAGCTTCCCCAGCGGCACCTGTTTCGCCGGAGAAGGGCCCCTGGGCGCCGCCTCAGCAAGCTTGGGTTGAGGGTTTAAGGTTTAGGTTGGGGTTTTCGGAAACTTTGGGTTTAGGGTTTGGGGATTTAGGCTACGGGCTTTAAAGGAGTTTGGGAGTCTAGAGTTCATGGTTTGGGGGCTTCAAGGGCTTAGGGTCTGGGTGGACTGATATAGGTCTTACGAGGTTTTAGAACACCGGCATCTGAGGAATCCGAGAGGTACACATGGGTCTTCGGGGTGTTTGGAGTTTTGGGAACAAGAGTAGGCGCAAGAACAGTAACAAAAATGAGAGCAGGAATAACAACAACAAGAGGAACCGCAAAAACAACAAGAATAAGAACAAATAAGAGCAAAAATGACAACAAGAAATCAGAAAGAGGAAGGGAGCTGTTGAGTTGAGGGCGGTAGGGAGAAGGGTGAGACACTCCGAAGACTTCTTTATGGGTTTGGGCTTGAGGGTTTAGGGTTTAGGGTGTGGGGTTTGGGGTTTAGGGTTTAGGGTTTTGGGGCTTTAGGGTTTAGGGGAACCCTGAATCCGGAGGTCGTGTTGAGGGTTAGGAGTTCGAAGGGTGAGCTGCATGGGACGGATGGTAGTGAAAGTCGTGGAGGCTCGGAGATTAGCTTAAGACGTGAGGGGGGTGTTATAGGGCTTGGGGTTTAGGATAGACCAGAAACCCGATGTAAACCTAAAGCCTGTACCCGCTAGATTCGCTAGATTTCCCGAAGCCCTGTCTTCTAAGCTTCTAAACCCCCCCCCCCTGGCTTCTAAACCTTTGACCCCAACACCCTACACCCACAAAACCTGAACCCTAAACACCTCTAAACCCCTGCACCCCACACCTAGGGTTTAGGGTTTAGGGTTTAGGGTTTAGGGTTTAGGGTTTAGGGTTTAGGGTTTAGGGTTTGGGGTTTGGGGTTTGGGGTTTGGGGTTTAGAGGGTTCCGCCAGAGTCCTGAGTCGGCGGCTCGGCTGCGTCGGGAGGTCCGAGTGCCACAGGTGCCTGGGTTGAGGTTTTGGGGTTTGGGGTTTAGGGTTTTTAGGGTTTAGGGTTTAGGGTTTAGGGTTTAGGGTTTAGGGTTTAGGGTTTAGGGTTTAGGGTTTAGGGTTTAGGGTTTAGGGTTTAGGGTTTAGGGTTTAGGGTTTAGGGTTTAGGGTTTAGGGTTTAGGGTTTAGGGCAGGATTGGGTGGGTGTAGCTGGTGCGGATAGGGGGCCATGGAGTTGAGGGTTTAGGGCCTAGGGTTGAGGTTTTGGGGTTTGGTTTAGGGTTTGGGGTTTGGGGTTTGGGGTTTAGGGTTTAGGGTTTAGGGTTTCGGGCTTCGATTCACGGTTTAAGGGGCTTAGGAAGGGGAACGGGTTTGGGTTTTGAGCGCTCAGGGTTTTGGAGAGGGACTAAGAGGTTGCCTACCACCCCCCTCCGGACCGCCCCGTATCGCAGAACTCGAAACCTAACAGCCTGGAGCCCATAAAGGGCCGAAACCCCAAAACACAAAAACTCCTAAAAACTGAAACCCCCGAACCCAAAGCCACAAACAAGAAAAAGCAAAAAGATCCTCCCCCCCATCCACGAACCTAAGCCCTAAACCCTAAACCCCAAACCCTAAACGCCAAACCCTAAACCCTCAACCCCAACCCTAAACCCTAAACCCTTAACCCTAAGCCCGAAACCCTACACCCCAAACCCCAAACCCTAAACCCCAAACCCTTAACCCTAAGCCCGAAACCCTAAACCCCAAACCCCAAACCCTAAACCCCAAACCCTTAACCCTAAACCCGAAACCCCCAAACCCCAAACCCTAATCTAAACCCTAAACCCTACACCCCAAACTCTAAACCCCTAATCTGAACCCTAAACCCTACACCCCAAACCCTAAACCCCAAACCCTTAACCCTAAACCCAAAACCCCAAACCCCCAAACCCTAATCTAAACCCTAAACCCTAAACCCTACACCCCAAACCCAAACCCTAAACCCTAAACCCTACACCCCAAACCCTAAACCCTAAACCCTAAACCCCAAAAAGGCAGCTGCCACAGACCAGGCCCCGTACTTCGGCTCTCTGGCGCGGCGCGCTCCCGGCGGCGGAGCATCCTGGGTCTAGGGTTTAGGGTTTAGGGTTTAGGGTCTAGGGTTTAGGGTTTAGGGTTTAGGGTTTAGGGTTCAGGGCTTAGGGTTTAGGGTCTAGGTGTTTAGGGTGTTTAGGGTTTAGGGTTTAGGGTTTAGAGTTTAGGGTTTAGGGTTTAAGGTTCGGCTGCTAGCAGCAACAGGAGCAGCTTGAAGTATGTTTGAGGTAGGGGTGCGTAGGCGGGGGGTAAGTAAGGGGGGTAGGGGGCAGGAGGGGCAGGGGGCAGGGGGAGTGGCATTAAAGGGCTTAGGGTGCCTTAAAGCCCTCAACCCTACTTAACACCCTCAGCCCTAAAGACAGAAACCTTACAGACACAAAGCTATGGCCGGGGCACCACTGCTCCAAGGCGGCGCGCTGCGCCTCGGAGAAATTCTTCTCCAAGACCTGAGCAAAGTTTTGCGCCCCCAAAGCCCCCTGAGCCCCTAAGCCCCCTCAGCCCCTAACTCCCCTCAGTCCCCTAATCTCCAGCGGTTTTGGGGGAGATGGCTCGGAACTTTGCAATCACAACTTCGACTGGGCAAGGCTGCGCAGGGTTTAGGGCTTAAGGCTCGGGGTGTGGGGGTTGCTTTGGGGTTCAGGGTTCAGGGTTTAGGGTTTAGGGTTTAGGGTTTTAGGGTTTAGGGTTTAGGGTTTAGGGTTGATACATACCCCCCTTGTCGCGGCCTCATGTGTCATGCCCTTCCTGGTGGACTTGGGGTTGCAGCAGGTCATGCAAAGAAGGTTTGTTACCACCGGGCTTGTCGCAAGCCGCAGGGTTTGTGCTGTTTGGCCGCATATTCTTGTTATCTATCTATATATATATATAAGACACACATATATATATATATAAACAAACAAATAATAAAGTATTCTGGGGACCCTCTCGAAACGCGCATCTAGCAAGTAGATTCCCCTGAAGGCTCCTATGAACATACTGCCGATCGATTGGGCGCTCTGCTTTCTAGATCCTCCCAGGGTTTTGGGTGGCCTCGTTAGGGCCAGAGCATGGAAACCACAATGGACGGTTCTCCGAACTGAGCATGGTTCCTCTTCTAGGGTCCTTCTTCTGATGACTAGACGAGGGTTCTGGGCTGCTTTTGGAGATGCCTGGTGCAAACCCTGAACCCCTCAGAGCTACGCCCGGGAGCCCCCGCAAGGCGCCGTCCGTCTCTGCCCAGGCGGCTCAACTCACGGAAGAGACTGCCTTCTTTTTGGATTCCGCGTGCTTCTTTGTTGTGTTCAGGGCGTAGAGGTTCAGGCACGCTGAGAGTGTCCGTGAGAGTCCGTGAGAGTCTGAAGGCTGACTTGGAGGTTCATGGGTGCTTATGAGTAGGCTTAATCAGCCCCGGGGGAGGAGGTTTCAGTGCTCAGGTTTCCAAACAGCTCAGGGGCCTGTAAAACGGTTGAGAGGCTGGGATTTGGTCTCGGCGTGTACAACCGAACGGGTACGATAGCAATGTTCGCTGTCGCAGCATTAGGAGGAAGTTATGGAAGGCACCATAAGTGGTGATACTAGCAGCAGCACCAACAGCTGCAGCAACATAAACAGCTGCGGCCATTGCGGTGCGGCAGCTGTCGTTGTAGTCGTAGTAGTAGTAGCAGTAGAAAGAGTGGCTGTAGTAGCAGAAGCAGCAGTATACTTCGAAGTTGCACAAGTCGTCGTCGTCGTCGTCGTAGTAGTAGTAGTTGTAGTCGTAGTCGTAGTCGTAGTCGTAGTCGTAGTCGTAGTCGTAGTCGTAGTCGTAGTCGTAGTCGTAGTCGTCGTAGTAGTAGTAGTAGTAGTAGTAGTAGTAGTAGTAGTAGTAGTAGTAGTAGTAGTAGTGTAGTAGTAGTAGTAGTAGTAGTAGTAGTAGTAGTAGTAGTAGTAGTAGTAGTAGTAGTAGTAGTAGTAGTAGTAGTAGTAGTAGTAGTAGTAGTAGTAGTAGTAGCAGCAGTAGTAGTAGTAGTAGTAGCAGTAGCAGCAGCAGCAGCAGCAGTACAATTAGTGGTGGTGCAGTCGTCGCAGTCCTTTACAAGACCCACACCTTGCAAGCCCTCAGTCAGATTGCAACGCACTCGGCTTCGGGCTGAGCAAGACGTCACCTGGGCTGAAAAGCTTAGAGATTGAGGCACTGGAGGTATTCGACTCCCTCGCTAGCAGACGCAGCGGAAGGAAAGGCCTGGTAGAC